CCTCACCTACCTGAACCAAGGTGAGCTCACCTGGCCCTCACCTACCTGAGCCAAGGTGAGCTCACACCTGAACCTCACCGCTGCCCCACGGTTGCCATGGGAACGTTCGGCCCCCAACTGAGGGGGAATTCCCGATTGCCGGGGTGGGCCTGGGGAAAACCAGGTGTGGGAGGGACCAGGTGTGGGAGAGACCAGGTGTGTGTGGTTCCAGGTGTGTGTGTGATTCCAGGTGTGTTAAAAGTGGTTCCAGGTGTGTGTGGTTCCAGGTGTGTGGTTCCAAATGTGTGGTTCCAGGTGTGTTCAAGGTGGTTACAGGTGTATTCTGGGTGGTCTCAGGTGTGTTCAGGGTGGTTACAGGTGTGCATAAGGTGCTTACAGGTGTGTGCAAGGCGGTCACAGGTGTGTGCAGGGTGGTTCCAGGTGTGTGCCAGGTGGTCACAGGTGTGTTCTGGGTGTCACAGGTGTGTGTAAGGTGGCTACAGGTGTATTCTGGGTGGTTACAGGTGTATGTAAGGTGATTTCAGGTGTATTCTGCGTGTCACAGGTGTGTGCAGGGTGGTCACAGGTGTGTTCTGGGTACTCCCAGGTGTGTTCAGGTGGTCACAGGTAACCCTCAGGTGCCCCCTCCCCCAGGTCAGTCCTACGAGATCCGGATGTTGGACAACAGGAAACTCGGGGAGCTGCCGGAGATCAACGGGAAGCTGGTCAAGGTGAGCACAGGAACACCTGGCCAGGTGTGCCCAGACAGGTACAGCTACAGCTGGACAGGTGTGCCTGGGCAGGTACAGGTACAGCTAACCAGGTGTGCCCAGCTCAGCCAGGTGTGCCCAGTCAGGTACAGGGACACCTGGCCGGGTGTGCCCAGTCAGGTACAGGTACACCTGGCCAGGTGTGCCCAGCCCAGGCAGGTGCTGTCAGGGTGATGGGGTGGGGGTGGGATACACTTGGTTCAGGGGGGATTTGGTTCCCTTCCTGGGGAGGGGCTGCACACCTGGCCAGGTGTGCCTGGGCAGGTCTAGGTACACCTGTCCAGGTGTACCAGGCAGGTCCAGGTCCAGGTACAAGTACAGGTCCAAGTACACCTGTCCAGGCGTGCCGGGCAGGTACAGGTGTGCCTGGGCAGGTACATGTGTGCCAGGGCAGGTCCAGGTCCAGGTCCAGGTACACCTGTCCAGGCATGCCGGGACGGTACAGGTCCACCTGTCCAGGTGTGACAGGGCAGGTACATGTACAGGTACAAGTACAGGTCCAAGTACACCTATCCAGGTGTGCCCGGGCAGGTCCAGGTCCAGGTACACCTGTCCAGGTGTGCTGGGCAGGTACAGGTACAAGTACAGGTACAGGTACAGGTGTATCAGGGCAGGTACAAGTGTACCAGGGCAGGTCCAGGTCCAGGTGTAGATCCAGGTTCACCTCTCCAGGTGTACCAGGCAGGTACAAGTGTACCAGGGCAGGTCCAGGTCCAGGTGCACCTGTCCAGGTGTGCCAGGCAGGTACAGGTGTGCCAGGCAGGTACAGGTGCCCTCCCCTCTCCCTGCAGAGCATTTTCCGGGTGGTTTTCCACGACCGGCGCCTCCAGTACACGGAGCACCAGCAGCTCGAGGGCTGGAGGTGGAACCGCCCCGGGGACAGGATCCTCGACATCGGTCAGTTCACCTGCCCCACCTGCCCCACCTGCCTCACCTGCCCAGGTGTTCCCAGCCTCACCTGTTCACCCCCCATCCCAGACATCCCGATGTCCGTGGGCATCATCGACCCCCGCGCCAACCCCACCCAGCTCAACACCGTGGAGTTCCTGTGGGACCCCGCCAAGAGGACATCGGTCTTCATACAGGTGAGCCCCTCAGACAGGTGAGCACAGGTGGGCACTGCCCCTCGGACAGGTGAGCTTTACCTCATATCCAGGTGAGCACAGGTGGGCACTGCCCCTCGGACAGGTGAGCTTTACCTCATATCCAGGTGAGCACAGGTGGGCACTGCCCCTCGGACAGGTGAGCACAGGTGGGCACTGCCTACCCCTCGACCAGGTGAGCACAGGTGGGCACTGCCTCTGAGCCAGGTGAGCACAGGTGGGCACTGCCTCTGAGCCAGGTGAGCTCTATCCCATATCCAGGTGAGCACAGGTAGGTGCTGCCCCTCAGCCAGGTAAGGGACAGGTGGGCTTTGCCCCTCAGCCAGGTGAGCACAGGTGGACTCTGCCTCTCAGCCAGGTGAGCTCTACCCCATATCCAGGTGAGCACAGGTGGGCTTAGCTAGGTAAGGGACAGATGGGCTCTACCCATCAGCCAGGTGAACTCTACCCCATCCATATCCAGGTGAGGGACAGGTGGGCACTGCCCCCCAACCAGGTGAGCACAGGTGGGCTCTGCCTCTCAACCAGGTAAGGGACAGGTGGGTTGTACCCCGTATCCAGGTGAGCACAGGTGGGCATTGCCCCTCAGTCAGGTGAGCACAGGTGGGCTGTACCACTCAGCCAGATGAGCACAGGTAGGCACTGCCCCTCAGCCGGGTGAACTCTACTCCATATCCAGGTGAGCACAGGTGGGTTCTACCCCTCAACCAGGTGAGGGACAGGTGGGCTCTGCCTCTTAGCCAGGTGAACTCTACCTCATATTTAGGTGAACACAGGTGGACACTGCCCCTCAGCCAGTTGGGCACAGGTGAACTGTGCTCCATAGCCAGGTGTTCTCTGTCCTCCTGACCCCGGGCTGTTCCCACCCCTCCCCTGCATTCCCATGGGCTCACCTGTGCCCAGGTGTTCCCAACCCCTCCCCGGCATTCCCACCTGTGCCCAGGTGTTCCCCCTCTCCCCTGTGCCCAGGTGTTCCCCCTCTCCCCTGTGCTCACCTGCCCAGGTGTTCCCAAACCCCTCCCCGGCATTCCCACCTGTGCCCAGGTGTCCCCCCTCACCTGTGGCCCTCCCCTGCCCAGGTGCACTGCATCAGCACGGAGTTCACGCTGCGCAAGCACGGGGGCGAGAAGGGGGTCCCGTTCCGGGTGCAGATCGACACCTTCCGGCAGGGCGACGGCGGCGACTACAGCGAGCACCTGCACTCGGCCAGCTGCCAGATCAAGGTCTTCAAGGTATGGACACGTCCACCCGGGGTCACCCGGGGTCACCCAGGGTCACCTGGGATTACTTGAGGTCATGTGGGATCACCTGGGGTCACCCGGGGTCACCTGGGATCTCCTGGGATCACCTGGGGTCACCTGGGGTCACCCAGGATCACCTAGGGTCAACCGGGGTCACCCAGGATTTTCTGGGGTCACCCGGGGTCACCCGGCATCTCCTGGGGTCACCCGGCATCTCCTGGGGTCACCCGGGATCTCCTGGGGTCACCTGAGGTCACCTGGAGTCACCCGGGGTCTCCTAGGGTCACTTGGGATCACTTGGGGTCACCCAGGATCACCTAGGGTCACCTGGGATCTCCTGGGATCTCTTGGGGTCATCTGGGATCACCTGGGATCACCCCGGGTCACCTGGGATCTCCTGGGATCTCTTGGGGTCATCTGGGATCGTCTGGGGTCACTCAAGATCACCTGGGGTCACCCAGGATCTCCTGGGAACACTTGGGGTCACCTGGGATCTCCCAGGATCTGCTGGGGTCACCTGGGATCACCTGAGGTTACCTGGGATCATCCAGGGTTATCTGGTCATCTGGGGTCACCTGGGATCACCTGGGATTTCCTGGGGTCACTTGGAGTCACCTGGGATCACCTTCAATTTCCTGGGGTCACTTGGGGTCACCCAGGATCTCCTGGCATCACCCAGGATCACCTGGAGTCACTTGGCATTACCTGGGCTCACCCAGAATGTCCTGGGATCACGTGGGATCTCCTGGGAGTTCCTCCCGGTGGGATTGTGCCCCTGGGATCTCCCAGCAGGAGCTCCAAGGGCTCACCTGGGGGGGCAGGTGAGGGGGGTGGGAAGGGGGGTTCCCACAGGTGTGCTCTCCTCACCTGGGAGTCCATCCTGCCTGTGCCACCCCCAGATCTCACCTGGGCACACCTGGGAG